AACTAACTAACTAACTAACTAACTAACTAACTAACTAACTAACTAACTAACTAACTAACTAACTAACTAACTAACTAACTAACTAACTAACTAGCTAACTAACTAACTAACTAACTAACTAACTAACTAACTAACTAACTAACTAACTAACTAACTAACTAACTAACTAACTAACTAACTAACCAACCAACCAACTAACCAACCAACTAACTAACTAACCAACTAACTAACCAACCAACTAACTAACCAACCAACCAACTAACTAACCAACTAACTAACTAACTAACTAACTAACTAACTAACTAACTAACTAACTAACTAACTAACTAACTAACTAACTAACTAACTAACTAACTAACTAACTAACTAACTAACTAACTAACTAACTAACTAACTAACTAACTAACTAACTATAACAAACTAACTAACTATAACTAACTAACTAACTAACTAACTAACTAACTAACTAACTAACTAACTAACTAACTAACTAACTAACTAACTAACTAACTAACTATATATAGCAAACTAACTAACTATAATTAACTAACTAACTATAACTAACTAACTAACTAACTAACTATAACTAACTAACTAACTAACTATAACAAACAAACTAACTAACTATAACTAACTAACTAACTAACTAACTAACTAACTAACTAACTATATATAACAAACTAACTAACTATAATTAACTAACTAACTATAACTAACTAACTAACTATAACTAACTGACTAACTAACTATAACAAACTAACTAACTAACTATAATCAACTAACTAAATACCTAACTAACTATTGAGTAACTTTTTTTCCTGTTTTTAAAGCATCACCTCCAGGCACTCATTGGTGGCATGCACATACAGGCATGCAGAGATCAGATGGGATTTATGGCGCACTTACTGTCAGGCAATCGCGAACTGTGGAATATAACAATGATACATATGATTATGACTTACCCGAACATAAAATGCTGCTTTCTGATTGGCTAGACAGACCTGTACTTGATAAATTCATCGCTCATCATCATAGTAATGGAAATAATAAACCAGAGGCGTTCCTTATTAATGGAAAAGGCAAAAGACAAGGTTTTCTAGATCCAGTCTCCAACAAGACGATCTACACGGAACGTGAGGTGTTTACAGTTGAGAATGGATCA